GAATGTGAAGCGACGGCGAATGTGAAGCGACGGCGAATGTGAAGCGAAAGACGAAATGGAAAATTATTATCGTTTGAAGTCTCACGAGACAATTTCTTTTTATGATGAATGATTTTTTTTAACAATATCAGACGCAAAATTACGCACCCATTATTAAGTGAGTGTGCGGGCGAGCAAAAAAATCAATTTCATTGCTGGCGCGCGGTACTCATTTATGGTTGAAATTTAAAAAGATGTGGAATTTTATTTTTCTTAATGGGAAAAATCGCATGAAGAAAAGTGCTCGATGGTAATACGGATATGCTGAGTAACAGCAGAGAATGAGAACATTTCATCAGCAGTTGAACTTTGATTCGATTAATGGCTTATGCATTTTCTATGTCATTTATTTCATTCGTTTTGCCAATCAGTGCTCCGTTTCACTTGTCATCTGTATAATCTGGTGAAATGAGCTGCAGTGGAAAGTGCTGCTGCTGCTGCTCCTGCTGTTGCTTCGGCTTCGTTGTCGCAGCAAATTATGTATAATTTTTTGCCGTTGGTCCGTTTGCTTTTTCCATTTCCCCGTACTGTGTAGAGAGAGAGAGAGAGAAACCATTTCAGAATCGTATCAAGCGCATTCCACTTATACTTGAATATGTTACGCCCTTTCGACAAGGCATTAAATTAATCATACGCGTCACGCACGTTCTTTGAAAATACACGTACACTACGTACATATATGCATTTCTCGTTCTCATGCTATCGGGATTTTCTTTGGTTGCCTCTTGCATCGCAGTACCGCATACATAGTTCGATTTGCCCGTCGAGCAATAAAAATTACTATTGCTTCGGTATGACGGCGCTTGTGCACAACATGAAAAATATTGTAAACGAACATAAAAATGAATTTATTACACCGAGTATGTGTGTAGTGTGCACTGCATTGGGTGGATTAATACGAAATGCGACGACAATATAAAAATTGTCACATTACAGCCCTCCCGTTACTGTACTTGACGGTAGTTTAAGTGAAATTAAACGACACGAACGAGAATAAACGAAAAGAAAAAAATCCATAAGCAGCACCAAGGGGGAAATCACTCAAAAGTAATACCAAATAGAAAAGTAATACCTCAGTTATTTCTAGTAATACCTCTGGTATTACTTTTGATATTTCTATGAAAAAAGTAATACCGAAAAAAAGTAATATCCAAGTAATACCAAGTAATACTGATCAATAGAAGTAATACACCTGGTATTACTTTTGATTTGTACGGAAAGTAATACCAAGTAATACCATTTATGTAAAAGTAATACCTAAGAGTGATTTGCCCCTCGAGCAGCACACTGAATGAATGAGAGAGAGAGAGAGAGAGAGAGAGAGAGAGAAAGAGAGGCTGAAAAGGCACACTGTGAATAAAGTGTATTTCGAGTGGATTTTCATTCATGCCATTAGTGCAAAAGTATTTCCATAACTCTCGGCATTTTTCCATTTTTAACCGTTTTGTTGTTCTCAATAAAGTGTCACTTAAACAATCCACTTGACTCAGTTACCGTGTTTATCTTAGTACACCTTTTAAATAAAATCGACAATGTATTCTCTCGAGTCTTTTTTTTTCAAACTCAACACGTGCCTTTTTCTCTAAATGCCATGCGTTTTCGTTTCGCTCATTTTCCCACTTTGATTGTTGTCGTCGTCGTCGTCGTCGTCGTTGTGTCTAACTGTGCTAAACATTGAAATCGTGACAAAGACGTCGTCATTTTTTAATAAGGGTACACAAAACTCTTGCATATTACATTTAATTTATTTTCGTTGGTTTGTTACAGTAAAAAAGTTAGTCGAAATGACACACAAAAAAAACAAAGAAAAAGCGAAAGAAAGAGAAGGAAAAAACTTGCTTTGCTTTTTCCCTACTTTACTTTCATATCCTATTTTCTGCTTCTCGCATACAGCTATGCGCAAGCATTGTGTACTTGTTTTTTAAATGCTCGGCACTGGCATGAAGAGTGCTAAATGGTGTGTCATTGCACAGTCAGAAAGTCAGTTGTTGTTTTTCAAGTGAAGAGAAAGAAAAAAGTGAAAGAGAAAATGGGTATAATGAGTTCCTTTTCAAAGAACAAGGCAAGAACTTGCTTCAAATGAGACATTCTTTTTGCAAACTATTCATCATTCGATTTGAATAAGTGCATGAAGAGCACTGCGAGAGAGAGAGAGAGATGCAATTACGTCCTTGGATGTGCCTCAACTCAGAGGTACACAGCAGCAGCAACAACTGAATAATGTAATTGCTATTTTTGAACCGATGTCGATCGACATCAAATTTCAAAAATTTCGCTCTATATTTAGTACACGATTTGTCTTATCAGATGTTTATTGCGACGCATTCTATTTGAATTCAGGAAATTTACAAATGCCATACAAAAGAAGAAGCGACGAAGAAAAAAGAGAGACGAAGTCATGACACAAGCGATCACATTGAAATTCTTTCGGTATGCGTACATGTTTGCAATGTTGAAATTCTCTCTCTCTCTCTCTCTCTCTCTCTCTCTCTCTCACACTGACTGACTCTCTCGATGTCGAATGAATTCCAAACAAATTCTCTGCGCAAAAAAAAAACGACCGAATTCTCTCCGAAAAAGAGAAAGAAACCAGAACGTAACGCTGACTGAGCAAAAGAACGACGTTAGTGTCATGATGGGGCAACAGCCAAAAAGAACACTTAAAAATAGCATCTCATTACAAATTGTGTGGCATTCCAAACGGTCGCTGAATTTCACGTAACAACAACAGCAACAGCATCAAGTGCGAATAGTAACAGAAAATGTTACAACGATGGATTGAAAAATTGAAAAAAATAGTGCAAAATGCTCAGTCAGCAGTATCGTTCGAAGGCACACCAGTAAATGCGTAGTGTTTTATTTATTTTATTTGCTTGTTTGCGCTTCAAATAGTCTTCTCGATCGAATAGTTTCCGTATAGTTTTTTTATATCGTTTTTTTTTTTGTGTTAACATTCCCCAATTCATTGTTGCACCGAAGAAGAAAAGCGGAGAGCGAAAGAATGAGAAAAGTAAAGCAATTCAATAGCATTTGTACAAGATGCTATAACTAAAGTGTCTCATTGTATATGTGTGTGTTTTTGTGTGTCCATGTACTACGGAATAAATCCTTGATTGTGTTTCTTGCACTTTTCCATTTGATTGAATTACCACATGTTTACTTTGGCCAATGTGTACCG